TGCGCCCCAGCCGAAATATGCTGACCACGATTCTTCATTACCTAAAACGACCGACAAGACTCAGAAAAAGAAGTTGACCGAGAAGGGTGAGGGCGAGGCCCTGAAGAACCCAAAGGCTGTGGAGGAGCAGAAGGAAACCAACGGAGAAGTCAAGACTACAGGAGAAACATTACCGAAGGAACCCGAGAAGGAAGGGACTGAAGCACCTCAACAAGTCAGTGAAGTGGCCAATGGCAGTCCAACTTCTGTGTCGGAGAAAAAGGAGGAAAACACCAAGAAGAAGGAAAAGAAGAAGAAGAGCGAGGAAGAGCGAAAGGCCAGAAAAGAGAAGAAGCGAAAATTGGCCGAAGCCAATGGATCCATCCCCATGGAGATACATTATGATAGCAGTGATGACTCGGCCAAACCAAAAACGCCGCCCAATGGTCCCGAGACCAACAAGCCTCAGACGGCACCTACCACGAACCCTGTGCGTGTGTACCGAAGATGCTGTCAGCTTCGCGAAACGCCAATCCTGAAAAAGATCACTGAGCAACTCACCGATACAGCCAACTACAATGCCTCGACTGGCACGGTCAACAAACTTGATCTAACAGATTATTGGCTCCAATTACCAGATCTCATCACTCTCGGAGACTACCTTGCAATCGTCCCTGTGAGGGAAATACTGTTGGAGAACAGCGGGCTTGGTGACGAAGGTCTACGAGTTATCCTAGCCGGTCTGCTGGCAGCCAAGAGACCAGCTGTGAGGCGGCGGAAACCCAAGCACGATGATGAGGATCAAGGCGGCGTAGTAGAGCGACTTGTCCTTAAGAACAATAAGATAGGTCCTGATGGATGGAAGTATCTCTCGCTTTTCATCTATTTATGCCGATCGCTTAAATTCCTCGATGTCTCTTACATTCAATTCCCGCGCCAGCCTCAATCACAGCAAAACGGTTCACTCAACAATGGAGTTCATATACCCCGAAGCATCTCGAGCATATTCTCCGCTGCTCTGGGAGAGCGACTGGGGGGATCAACGCTCGAACTGGTCAACATTGGCCAAACGGGTTTGACGATGGGGCAACTTGGAACAATCGTCGACGGCCTGATTCAATGTGGCGTGAAACGACTCGGTTTGTCGCACAACCAGATCGATGCAGAGGGCATGAAGCATGTTGTCAAGTTCCTTACAGAAGGTCACTGTGAAGGTCTCGACTTGGGCGGCAATGATCTCAGCCAACACACTGAAGCCTTGGCAACAGCCATCGAGAATGATACAACGCTCTGGGGACTCGGCATGGCCGATTGTAACTTGACGCCTTCGGCACTCTGCAAGATCTTACCTGTGATGGTCAAGCTACCGAATTTACGATTCTTTGATTTGTCCCAGAACCCAGCATTGTTCCAGTCTACCCCCAGTGCTGTTGGTCTGCTCAGGAGGTATGTATTTGATAACCCTCAGCTCGACTCAAGTATACTAACTGTGCATAGATATCTTCCCAAGATGAAAGTGTTGAAACGTATGCATCTAGAAGATGCTGCGATGACTCCAGAACAAGCGATAGCAATAGTGGAAGTGCTCCCTGAGGTTAAAACGCTGGCACATATCAATATCACCAACAACGCCGAGATTGCTAAGCTTGCCGATGCAAGTACAGAAGAAGCGCAAGAAGAAGCTTGCGCTCTTTATGCGTCTCTACTTGCCGCAGCTCGTGTGTCAAAGAGTCTCATTTGTGTGGATCTCGAGGTTCCTAGCGAACATGCGGGGGAGATCGTCAAGGCCATGGCTAAGCAAGTCGTTGCCTACTGCCTTCGTAACATGGAACGACTTCCCGATACTGACACAGGTGCGGTTTTGGCATCGACGCTTGCCGAGAACAACCTAGAGGTTGGCGAGAATAAGTTGCCACCTTATCCTGATGTTCTCGCACATCTCGTTGGACACGACGTCCTTGACCAAGACGAAAGCGACGACGATAACGGTTCAGCGCCTGATGAGGACTATGTTATCGGAGGTACTGGTGTGGTCAAGGCGCTTGCTTGTTGCCTGAAGAATCGTGGTGATGAGTCACGGAGACAATCAGGCGAATTTATTCGTGATATTGAGAACGGAGCATCAAACCCTGCTGCCAACTTATCCACAGGTGGAAAGGCCAAGGACATGTCAAAGCACCTATTGATGGGCGCACGCAAGATTCGCCAACGTCTCCAGCCGGCGCTCATCAAAGCAAGGGCAAATCCTGATGATGATCACAACCTCCGCAGGCTAACCTTCCTCGACGACACTTTGCAAGGAATTATCAAACGGTTCGAGGACGAGTACCCGGATACCCGCGAGGATCCTGCATTGCAAAGGCGCCCCCGTGCAGGGACGAAGGGCAGCGAAGAGTCGCCAACCACATTGCCACTCGAGGATTCTGCATTGGCTTTGTCGGACAATGAGGATGAAGGCGAAATTACCGGAGGCAAGCCACTGTCGAGGTCCAACTCCATGGCCAAAATATTGGTTGAGGAAGAAGGCCGAATTCTCCGCGCTGGTCATCGCTTCCGTGCCGGTCTCATTAAGGAGGAGCAGATTGACCTCCTCAGCACAATCGATGATATTGGATCGGATCCTAAACACGTCAGGATGCTTGTTGAACTGGCCGAGGACCTCGGTGGAGAAATCTGGGAATTAGTCAAGGAGAAGGGTCCCGTGAGGGCATTCAAGGAGGATCGAGATGTTGCTTTCAAGTGCATGGAGGCGAGCGATCCAGAGCACTGGGCTCGATTCGCTGAGGCGCAGTACAAGTCTCGCGCGAACATTAGCATTCCATCAGCAGCAAAGCAGGGTGAGGTGGTGGACGAGAGCGCGGTTGCTGATTGAAGTAGTGGGCTGCAAGAAAGATGTCGATATGATGCCTGTGTAAACAAACCTCTGCTAGGAGAAGAATGGGGTCATGGCAGGTTGATCATGGCCTGTGCATCATCAAGAGTTGGTAGAGAGAAGGATGTGGATTGACATGACATTCTATGCTATGCGCATAGAAGTCAGGGCGCTCGTTAACGACTGACTTTTCCCTTTCGTTCTATTTTGCTTTGAGCGGGGAGTTATGAATAGGTAGGCTCTCTTGCAAGAGAGAAGTGGCTATACTACTATACTATCAATGCGCGAACGGGATCAAAACTACGTGCATAGTCTTGGGGATCGAGTGAATAATACATACAGCGTCGTCAACAGAAGTCGATCTCTGTTAACTGAGGGGCGTTGGAGAGTGTGATACATACTGTACTACTTCGTATTATATGTAATGAGGTGTCCATAACCCTGGATTTGTTCTGGGGAACAGTGTTTAACCTGATCCTCAGTGGATATTCACCATGTCACCTTGAGCAAGTACCGAGTAGTGAGTGCATGATGTGCAGTGCAGCACTAGACTATAGCTATATCTAGACGATGCGGCGTGGCCGGGATGAGCACGGGGGCTGATCTCAGCTTATCAATCGATTAATTAACTAATTAATTCTCTTTTGACGCCAGAGACGACGGGAAGAAAGGCAACAAGTTCTAGCTCACCCGCTGTTTCGTTTTGGTCAAAACCGTGAGATTCGGTTGGTCCGCGACTTGGAGTCCTTAATTCGGCCTGCAACGTGAGCTATTCTGCTTTGGGCAACATGAAACGCAAACCATGCCTTATGGGGCAACAGGGGTAGCACAACCTCTTGCATCTCCAACGTCTCGAGCTTCAGCTTTCAATTAATATTTTACTCTTGTCAACCTCTGTGCGCGTTTCTTTCTTTTTAGTCGTTTCACTGGATGCCATTTCACCGGATGCCATTTCAAGCTATTCTATTCGCGCACAAGTCTCTCGAGTCCGCTTTTATTTCCGTCTTGAATGCACAGCCTCATGTCGAGGCTTCTTTCAGGGTCGTATCTGACAGGAGGATGAGGAGGAATCATGATGATGCGCTCACTGGTCAGGCCGTGACGATTCTAAATCAAGAACCCTCGCATTAGGTCTAGGCCGCATCAAAGTCTAAGTAATGTGGTTGAAGTTGCAGTTTTGCAGTCATCGCCTTCGTCATTGGGCTGTGAGATCTGCGTTTCGTCTGTCTTAATACAGGAATTATATGTGCAACATGGTTGCTGAGCTGGCAATGCGAGGACAGCAAACCACAGACAGATTCGATCGCTTCTTTGCTAGCTACCCAGCCATCAAGAGCTCCCAGCCGCTCTCTCCTCGCTGCTATCATTGTTATCGTCCGTCCGGGTTGGAGCAACGAAACGACCCAGCATATCGATGTGTGGGTTGATGCTCATTCCATTTCCTGGGCTCCTGGCCGTGGGCGTGGTAATCATAGCTGATGTCGAAACAGAAGCACGACCCTCATATGCGGGTTACTCGTTCACATCAGGCTGGGTTGATTGGCTTCCACCCGTCCATCTAATTCATGCAAATGCTTGCAAGGCCCATGCTGGGGTCCCATGCGGAATCCTTGTACAGCCTAGGATCCCTCGACCACTTCTCTGGTTACGAGATCTTGAGCGTGTCTCTCGTCTCTTTTGGTCCAACGACTTCCTGGTCTTCTCTCCCCTCTTCTTTCTCTTCTATTCCACGGACCTTCTTTTCATTCGTTACGGTCTGTCGACTGTTGGTTATTCGTTCGTTTCTTACACTCATTTACCCTTCTGTTTAGTCTGTCGTTTCCTTGCTATATTTGCTATCCTTGAGGCGAGCTGCGCTCATCGTCGTAGTCTTTCCACCCTTTTTGACCATACAGCATCATCTTCACCTCAGATGTCACCCGGTGATCATCACACCTTCACACTTTGACTGTTGACCAACGAGTGTCGTACATGACCGATCTCCCTTGGCTTACATCTTCGAATCGACTTCGCCACATTGTGTGACAGCCTCTGAACAAATCAAACCTCAAAACTCCGTCATCTCATAAACCATCTCACATATACGATGGAGGGGCCTCCTTCTACCCGGTCATTTAGACCATGGGTGTGGGAGAAGCCTGGCTCAGTCATGAACTTTGAAAACTTCGAAAGGTATTCAAACAACAAAAGTCATGTCTGACTACAGTATCCAACTAATCCGAGATAGTATCTCAGAAGAGCCTGGCTCCGCGTCAACTACACGACCCCCGACTAGTCGGACTCGAGGCTTCACCACTTCTTCAGGGCGGCAGACCGTCAGATGGCCCTTTCACAGCTTCAGCAACTCACGATCTTCCATTCCCAATTACCCTCGCAGACCGTCCAACTCTCGCTCTATCCCACACAGTTCGGGCTCTTTTCCTCGCCGTGCTGCCAGCAGCATAAGTCGTTCTGTCTCTAGCGTTCTTGGTAGCGACATCATCCCTGACTATGTAGTCAACTTCATGCGCGGCGAGACGCCGGAGACTCTCGCTCGAAGACACCGCATCCCAGATAGTCCTGAGCCTGGACAGTTTCAACGCCCACGGGAATCTCAACTCGACTTTATTCACTCGGCCTCGAGTACACCCGACAACTCGAGGCCGGGTACTCCGAGGGCTGAACGGGAGAAGATGCTTGTGGAGGAACGACCGCAGCCTACCCGATCACTTATGACGGGATGGAGAGCTGGTGTTGCAGCCAACATGTTCCTGGCTTTCCTGATTCTCGTGGCTTCTGTGGCTTGTCTCGGTCTCGCCTCGGCCCATGGACACATGTCAACATGGGAGTCGTTGTTAATGGAGGGTAGTTCGACTACCGTTGAAGGTATTGCTAGAGGGATCTTGGCGGCCGTGAATGGGTTTTCCATCATTCTCCTCGCTGGGGCCAACTACGTCGTTCAAATCCTCAACAGCCCGACTCGTGCTGAGGTAGACAACGCCCACTCAACTTTTAAGTGGCTCGACATCGGTATCCCATCTCTACGAAATATGTCACTCATCTCTTCGACTAGGGCAACACTGTCAGGTATCATGATGGTGTTTGCCCTCCTTTCCCAAGTAATGTATGCAACCAAAACTCCGACGACATGTATTGTCACTGACAAATTGAAGATATAATTCCATAATTGTTACTACCGAACACGCAGAGGAATATAAATCATCGCTTAACGTTAACGGCCCTCTCCTCGCCGCTATTACGCTAATAAATGTTGTTCTCATCCTCACTTATGCCATTGCTGTCGCATTAGCACTCACCAGACAAGTCTTCAGCCCACTCGTCACGCTTGGTGATGCTCTGAGCTCGTTCCTCGCCGATCCCGATATCAGCACTCAGGACTCATGCCTCATCACCAAGGAAGAGATCAAGAAGGGATTATGGGGAGACCGAGAGGGCAAGTACTGGTATGCCAAGACAAGCCGCTGGGTTAATGTTCCCTCATTCAACCGATGGGCTATTTGGTTCATGACATGGATCATGCCTGTGGGGTTGGCAGCTGCGGCTCTGGCGCTAGGGGCTGTGGAGGAACCCAAGGAGGCCTTCACTAGGTTCGGCAAGGCGGCAGTGGTATATGAGCTGCCCGTGGGAACGTCAAGGTCTGGTATGGCCGTTGTGGCTGCGTTGCCCCAGCTCCTCTTGGGTCTGTTGTATCTTTCCAGTAATGCGCTGCTTACCTTGTTCTACCTGTCCCACGAGCTCTCGCACTTTACATCGGACCTGCTTCCTTTGCGCGTGTCTTCAGGACAGCCACTCGGTTCACAGACAACTTCACTGTATCTCACCTTGCCTCGACCCGTATCCTGGATACTCTTCTTTCTTGTTACCGCGATGGCATTTCTCCTCAGTCAGGGCATTCTTCTCGTGTCCGTGGACGGCATTAAGGGAACCACAACGGGAATTGGCTTCAGCCCCCTACCGCTACTTATCCTCCTCGTTCTACTCGTTCTACTCGGTCTCGGCATTGCTGGTCTAGCATTCCGGCAGGTGGATCCCCGTGGTTCCGTTGAAGGGGGAGAACCGGCCGGTAACCCACTCGCTTTAGTGGGCGGAACGTGTTCGGCGGTTCTGAGCGCACGATGCCACCGGGTACCGCGAGAAGGCGGTGTTGAAACACTCGAGGTTCGTTGGGGCGTGGTGCGAGAAGGTGTAGGAATGAACGCAGGACATGCGACCTTTTCTGGAAGACCAGTGGGGGACATCATGGTTGGTAGAGCTTACTCCTGAAGAGATGAATTTATACTATTCAACTGATTGTTTCGGGCAACGATTGCATTCTTTATAGCGGGTCTGATTATTCTTGGGATGCTGATGGTGTTCTGTGATAAGAGCGAGGTTCATTATGTAGGCACGGATGATACACCTGGCGTCTATTTGGAGAGGATTTCATGTGAAAAGTTCGAGTGTTTAAAAGAGTCGAATTTCTGTAGGTAATTTTTGTGCAAGATTGAGATAAAACTGCTATCAAATTGGATCCACCAGTTCGATGTGCTCCCATGTGTATGCTGTATGTATTCTAACCAGTAGAAATGATCGACTGGGGTGAGAATGAGAAGATAATGCCCAACAAAAGATATCAGGGCACACCTGTGGGTCCAGATATCTTATGTTATGAAACGGCTTGTTGGGTAGGTATGAGTAGACAGATTGAGAGTTGGGACATATGATCAGCAACTAAGATAATCAGAAATGGGTCATGGGCTAACGGTCGCGGCCAAGAACGAACACGAAATGGATCACTCAGAAGAGTCAAAGTTAAAATGAGGAATAAACAAGGCGAATGGTGTCAGCAACAGACGATTCGGACCCTCCCCCACGTTATACACTTCTGTCAAGTGTCACCAGTTGATGGTTGGGGCTTCAGAACGAAGAATTATCGTAGGAATAAGACAGGGGCATGGAGGGAACGAGTCGGCAAAGAAACAAATTCTCCTTTCACGGAATTCAAGGTAATAAGAAAGGTTGGTAGAAAGGAACCCCTTTGTTCTCGACCTTGTTGGACAAACGAAGTAAGGTAGAAGATCTAGAAGCCGACTTGGAAGACACAGACTTTGGTTGGTCAGACAGTGGTAATCTCTCTGAGCCACAAGTGGCCCAAGCCATGGAAGGTCATACGATTCACTGCCACATCAGACCAAAAGTCGGGCGTTTCTGACAATTAGCGAGCTTTTGATTGGTCAGCTGTCTCTTTCCCTTCCCATTCAGGATCTCCTGCCTGCCCACTCTCGGTTCGGAAGCAATTCACTTTTTACCTTGTGTGGCAGGTGCGGGTACTGCACTTTCTTTTCCATAAGGTAGGTAGGCAGGTTGATGAAGATGGCCCCATAAGGATACAAGCGGAAGAGTTGGAGCTTGGCAGGCAAGTCAGGTCCACTCCAGGTACCGACGTGCTGGCTTACCTTGAGGAAGGGGCACCTGGGCACCTGGCACCTCCCGTCATTTGAGGCAACCGACCTACCAAGGCAAGTAACAGGTAAGGTACTTAAGCACAAAGGTCTGCACTTCAGTCCGTGGACCTGTTTTCTGTGACTTTGACTTTACACATAATTCAATATTAGTACTCTAGTATATCAAACCTACCTACTACCTACCCACTCATACAATATCCGTCTATATATATATAACTCAACTCTCCTGGGCTTTCTCCTTACGAACAGCTCTTCGACCTCGACTACTACTTACACTCCTCTACGACCACAACCATTCTCATAATTAGTCTTCGCTTTCACACTTACCATCCCAAACATGACTTACACAATGACCGCCCACCTCTGCAAGCAGATCTACGCTTCCTGGCGTCAAACTCGACAACCTTCTCCCGACCTGGCTCCCCCAACACAGATCCCCTCGTCAATGTTCGGTCGTCCCATCTCGCGGTCCCCGTCACCCCCTGCTCAGCGATCAGAGCGACGCCCTTCCAACGCCTCAGACTCAGAATGGCACCCCAACAGTCGTCACTGAGGAAATACAAAGACTTACGATTTTGCCTTATTTACCCATGACTCATGAGACGGGTCGAACTTTTGCATTCAGGACACGGGCACAGCATCTGGCGCATATGACTTTGTTATACTGGACGGGATTTGAAGCCGTCGCTAAACTTCCTCTTACACATTACTCCCAATCTTCAAGATTCTGAAGATTCCAACACCTCTCTTTTGACGCCTCTCGGTACAAAAAGTCGAATCCTTCAAAATTTCCATCAACAGATCTGCCAACATACTCTCCCTCAGACGAGATGCATCAAAAACAGCCCAGATCTGTGGGGCCAGTATGCTACTATGGGACCACAAGGTGTCAATCACGAAATCTTGTCCCAGAGTTGCATAATAAGAGATGTCCCCCACGTTCGCATCAGAAAACGCCAGGAACCGACATGCGAATCGTCATTCCTTCGGATGGAATGCAATACTCTAAGGCGCCATGTAGACGTACAGGCAGACTGGACCGAGACCTTTCGGATAGAGGCTCTTCTTTTTTACACTTGTCTTTAAATTGTTGAGTGGTTGAAATCAGCAACCTCTTTTTCACACTAGATACCCAAATGAAACTCAATATTCTGAACCAAATATCATTATCTATTCCCTCCAGTCCAACCCTGGCAACCCATGACTCGAAATCGATAACAGTGGCATGACCATCTGCCCACATTGAACACCCCCTGTAATCGGGGTGTGCCGCCGATCTTTCTTTTGCGGGGTGCTCAAGGGACTCGCTGTGGCGGATGAAGTCTATCCTTGAAAAGGTATTTCATCACGTGTCGTCACGACATCAAGTTCAATACCAGCATAGGTAGAAATCATTGACCAAGTATTGATTATCTAATTATCCTTGGGTGAAGCAAGGAAGACATCACGCAGTGCTACCTTTACCAGGCATAGAATCCTACCCCAAGTCCATCTTTAGCCTTCCCCAGATTTTAGCCCAGCTGATTCTCCAACTCCTTCAGCTGGAGCAAGAAGTGCTTTTCTTCGGATCGGTTCGGCTTCCCCCACCAATCTCACGTACTTTTGGACCTGACCTATTTCCGAACCGAGCTATTCAACTTTTAGATGTTGTTACCTGCCCTGCTTCATCATGGGTCTATGAGGAGGATGACTGACGACTGACGTATGCAAGTTGGTCCTGTATGATAGGGATCCGTGTGACACCAATACCAAGCATTCTGATGTATCACTAGATAGTTAAGCATATATGCACTAATATAAACAGAAAAGTGTCTGTGCTACTGTCCGTTTTGTATCCACTTCGCTTCGCTTTTTCGTTTACGTCGTTTCGTTTCTCATGCACCAAGTTATATCCTATCCTGTTTCTCCTTGTCCAATCACCACGGACCGAGCATGTATTCCTTTGTCCTCATACAAATCCCTCGATAAACCAGTTCAATGGCCATATCTACGTCCCCGGAGGCTACCTATCCAGCTTCTACATGCCCTGCTTAATGTTGAATATATGCCCTGTCGTCTCCGCGTCCATCGGCGGCACCTCCGCTTACATCGCTTCCGCGTGCCATGCCGACGTCTCTACATCGCCGACGCAGCCATTGTATCGATGGTGGGCTTGGATGTTAATCTTGATGGCTGCTCTTCCTCTCCACTACCATCTGGAGACTCCTGCAAGGCTACGTTGCCCTGGATTCGTCTCTTGGCAGCTCTCTTGTCCGCTTCCGTGATGTTCTCTGCCTTCTTTCGCATATCAGGAGTCCACTGTGGCTCACTAGGCGTGTGGCCAACAGACATGCCAACTCGGACCTTTACCGGGAATTAGTAGCTGTGTAACTCACCAATGTGAATTACTTACCAGAGTTTCAAGTGCATCCTTGCTATTGTCGACAAGATCATCGTCGAACACCATTCGTCCAGGTTCAAAAAGCAGCAGGATCGTGCTGCCACCAAACTTGAAGTATCCAAGCTCTTCTGCTCGGTGGACTCTCTCGCCCTCCTGGCGGGTAATGACAGTGCTCCCTACCATCATTGCACCGACGCAAATAACCATGACGCGTCCATGTTGTTCACTGTCAATTGGCACGAGAACTCTCACGTTCTCTCCGTAAACGTCCAGAGCGGATCGGATAGCCATGGGGTTCACTGTATAGTATTCACCCTCAATCGTCTTGGGCTTGCCCATGACACCGTCCACAGGGATGTGGAAGCGATGATAATCCTGAGGAGCCAGTCGGAAGATGCCCAGAGCTCCGCCCTCAAACCGGGACACATCCTCAGGGTAGGCGTCGCCGAGAAGCCTCTTCATGTTAAACTCACGACCCTTGACCCAAATCTTGGTAGCGACAGTGATAGAGTTGAAGACGACGCTTCGACAATCGGCTGGTGAGACGATAATGTGAGGGTTGTCGGGCGCAGAGCAGGGTCGAGCACCAGGCTTCAGGGCGCGGTAGAAGAACTCATTGAAGTTGTTGAACTCCTCCAACGGCAACAGGACTTCCGACATGTCGAGACCATGGAAAGCAATGAACTTCTCAATCTCATCCTTGGACGCAGGATCGTCAAACTTCTTACCCTGCTTGATACTCAGATTTTTGAGCAGTTTTCGGACTGTAGCCTTGTCAGTAATGCCGTTTTGCCAGGCGAGCACTCTGCTTACTTCGCTTGTTCTCCATATCTCGAGATTTGAGCCCCTTGTACAGCAGACGAATGCCGAGTCTTACATAAACACTCATCTTCTCCTCGTTGATCTGCCCCGTGAGACGATCTTGCACAAGGATATTGGCCGAGTTGGCACCCAGCTTGTAACCGCCGTAAGAGATCTTGGTAATGACCTTCGAGTACCACTTGCGCTGCGCCTGGCTGGCTGTGACAAATCCGCCCACTAGCACGCTATTGACTTGCCTCCAGTCTTGGCTTGCGCATGTCGCGATATGGGTGATGATGTCAGCATCCTTGCGCTTGTTGAGTCGCGGCTGGTGACAGATAGGACATTCTCGGATCTCTACGACATGCTCTTCAGAACGGTCGTCACTGCTGTCTGACTTGTCGAGGGGATCGCCCTCCTCATCTGCAGGTGTCTTCAGAGTAGGGACATTTGAGATGGGAGTCTGAGTTCCCGATGTCGAGTCGAGTTCTAGAACGCTGGGGGTCTCTGAGCCACCGTTGTTGTTATGTCCATGACCTGGCACGTGGAGGAGGTTCTTCATCTCGGGCACCAAACCCTTTAGTTTATCTGCAGTTGTGCCTGAGGATCGCCTTCGTCCTTCCAACTGGTCCTCCAAGCAGATAACGCACTCGTCCATCGTAAGCTCCCAGTTCTCGTCGTTATCAGCATCACGGTGGGGGAATCGCTTGAAAAAGCCATCGATGGTATTCTCGGTAAGCGTAGAACCCAGAGACTCAAGCATTGTTGTGAGCTCGATTCTGCTGATGCGACCACTCTCATCGGCATCATATTGCCGAAGCATGGCTCGCCAGAACTGCTGTCGGAGGGCATCATATGGCATGTACTTCGCGCGGAGGTATAGAACGGGATTGTGCTTCTTCTCCCACTTTTCGGTGTTCTTCATCTTCAGAGGAACGTTATACTCATAAAAGTCGGCATCTCCGCTGTCCTGGTTGGTCGAGTCAGGATCAGAACCAGTATTGGCGAGGACATCCGCGGGTGCCAGCTTGTTAGGGTCGGGTGCTGAGGTGGGCGCAGGGGCAGGAGTCGCTGATGCCATGCTCGTGTTGGAGGCGTGCTTGCTCAGTGGGGGACGAATCATCTTGCTGATACTGGAGGAAGAGTTGGATCGTGACATGGCGAGCTTCTTGAACCGCGATCGCGAAGGAAGCGGCTCGGCCTGTGCAGGGACTTGGAGATCATAGAGTCCGGTTTCGGGGTTTGCTTTGGGGGCTCTCTCGATCAATTGGTGGATTGGAAGATCGCACGAGGCAATGAAATCGTTACCGGAGTATTTATCGTGGTCGATGACAGTAAAAGCGAAGGAGTATTGCTGCTCGTGACTTTGGATATGGAACAGCATCTTCTCGTTATAGACAGGGTTGAGGTCATGACGAATGCGTCGAGTGCGGTATGTCTTCTTGCCGAGGGATGCCACAACGAACGGGTCCATATCGAAGCTTGTGCGTGTAAGGTTGGATTCGGGAGGCAGGTCTGTGATCTTGATGACCTCAAGATAGATGATTCCAACAACGTCGGAGCCACTGCTGGCAAAGGCATAAGGGTTGTTGCGCCTCCTCTTCTTCAGTCCTCGAATTCGAAGTCGGCGCTTGCGCTTGGTAGCATCTTGTTCACCTTCATCCTCATCAACCTCGTCGGAGTCGTCTTCATCGAAATTGTCATCGTCATCATCACTGGGGCTGTCCTGAGGGTTGGGGGCGGACTGGGAGCCTGTGGGGGCCAAGTTCGGTGTCATCGAGGGTGTTACGTTTCGAGAGCCAGCGGGGGCAGTTCCTACAAGGGCTTGGAACTTTTCGAGGATTTGCTGTGGTGTCGCTGACGGGTTCGTCGAGTCGAAGAGGGAAAACTGTAACTGGACTTCGCCAGAGACAACACTCGTCTTCTTGCCGGGACGCTTGCTCTTGAGACGGTACCAGGTAGGTTCCTGTTCCACCTTGTCGTTGTTGAAGATCTCTTCGAGAGCGAGATCGAGCTCGCCCATGTAATCTTTTCCAAAGCGGTCCTTGTCCCAGCAGATGACATCCAGGACCAAGTTCTGGACAGATGTGAGGGGAATTTCCTCGGTGACGTTCCACTCTGGGTTAAGAGTCTTTGGGACATCGTTGGTTACGATTCGAGAGTCGCCGCTAGAAAGAACGAGGTACTGAAGGTCAACTGTCAGTATTGGGGCCACGGTGTTGGGAGAGGGACTTACAGGATCGGATGTGCCGCTTCGATCTTTGGCTGCAAGGTCTTTTCCCTGGCAAGATGTTAGCAGAAGCCTGGTGAAATGAATTTATACTCGGATGTCCTCGCACTGCCTTGCTGCTGCGGCGACTAGATTGGGCAGAGAATCGATGATGGCTGGAGGGACCTGCAGCCAGCTCGTATAAGAGCCCGGGCGTCAAGTGCACAAGTACCAAGAGACAATCGATATATAGTACCTTTATAATATAAACTCTGAGGGCCAGACCATTTCCAGCGTCCCTCGAAGGGCTCGTGCTATCATTTTTCGAGCGCATGGGAGGACTGTTGCTGCGGTTGTTTTTGGTTCTTCCGTTGGTGTTGCTGACGGAGTGTATGGTTGTGGAGGAAGAAGAGGAGGATCGAGAGGTCGATTTGAGCCGTGTTGGGATGATGCGCACCATGACGAAGAGAGGGCCTTGGCTCGGCCGGACTGGGGCTCCAACAGCTGGAGCTCCCTGTCACACACAGCACTGGAGTCTCAAAAGTTATGGAGGGTGATAGATCGATCGACAGCGGGGGTGCTGGAGCTGTACTGTACAGTAAGTACCTATGGTAGGTCCTGGACTGGAAGGGTGTGGTGTGGTCGGGTCGGGTGCGTCCAGGCGTCTCAGGCGCTCAGCTCAGGCGGATTTCCAGGCGATGACACCCACAAAGTGTCCTGCAATACCTAGGTGTCCCAGGGGTGAGGGCCAAGGTTGATTCCGCTCGTAGCTTTGGGGGGTGCAGACTGTCTTGGGATTGGTGGGGATGCTTGGTAGGGGCGGGGAACGAACAGCCAAAAGTGACGTAGTGAAAACCAGGAACAGATTTGCCCTACTAAGGTAAAAGGTAGTACAAGTATTTCAAATTTGATGTCTCTCAAGTTAATCTGTTGATGTTGTAAGAAATTTAAGAGTGTTGTCGCCCGCTTCAGCTCGAAATGACTTCAGGGGTTGGAGCTTATTATCGCCGCTTATCGTTTCAGATATGTGCGGTTTGGTTTGCTCGTTTCCAAAAGATTCAGCTCAGCTCAGGTCAGCTCTCAAGTAGAAAATGGTTGGGTTCGTAGCATGAATGAAACCCGTTCTCGACCCCCTTTTTTTTTTTTTTGTTGGCGGTGATATAAGTCGTCGTGTCGGCTCGTGGCTTAGATTGGCTGCTTCATTCGATATACGCTGTGACCATTCCCGCTGCAGTTTCTTCCTTTTCTCCTTTTCTTTTCACCCTATTGCTCTTCAGCGATTGCTCAGCTCGTAATCCAGATTCGTTCTCTGGCGACTGCCCAGGCCAAGCCACGGCCAAGCCCCGGTATCGAGTGTCAGCGCCGTCTGAGCCGCGAATGTGGGACAAGGAACGCGAGAGGATCCGTCTGTGACCGGTCGGTGGAGTATTGTGATAAATAAAAGTATATTGGTTGATGGTGAGAGGAGAGACAGCAGTGAGTTTGTTGGATGGTTGAGCGTAGAGTAGAGGCACGTGAGGCAGAATATAAAGAGAAGTAATAATAAGAAGAGAAGTGATTCAAATCAAACCCAGCTCGGTAATAAAACAGACGAGACGAGACGAGACGAGACGAGACGAGAAGTTGAATTAAACAAGATGAGGTACGAGGACTCAGGAGTGACCGTGATACTAGGAAATCAAGTTATCATCCATGAAGAAAACAATTGGGCTTCCCCTGGTTGGTTTGCTTTTTTTCTCCTATCTCCTTCTTCTTCTTCGTCTTCGTCTTCTAATCTCGTCTTATGTCTCGCAAAATAGGTAGAACTCAGTAGTAAGAAGAACGAGAAAGGAAACAAAACAGAAAAGGCCGGAAGAGGGAAATGACCCTTGTTTTAATGCGATACAGTCGAGAATAAGCTCACTCCTTGTGTTTCTTCCATTCTGCTCAGGGCAGCTTTCCATGGATCCTTCACATCCCAACGTCTGCCCTAGGACCTACTGGTACTGGTACCTACTTACCCAAGCTACCTCCACTAGGTCCCCCAAATCAGTCAGGGCTGTCCTGCCTGTCCCTTGGTTAGCCTCTAGACTCCGGATTCCAGGACTAGGCCACTAGAGCCATCCGTGAATACCTAGCGTTGGGGCGCCTTTTTTGCCGTGCCGGTTCCGTGACTGGGGGACACGTATTCGACCATACCGTCTCTCGACCTGGTTTAGTAGTCAACTAAATGGATGAACCCGAATTTGATTGAGCTAATAAAAGGTACCTTGCCTTGAATTGTCTCATCTCGTCTCGTCTCGTGTTGTTGGCTGAAGCGAAACAGAAGAAAATGCCTCTTACATAGGTCCGGACATATACATATTGTTGTTTTTAACCTGGCAAAAGGCTACTGGCCGTATCTGACCTTACCTTATCCGCTAGGTAGTTTTTTCATTAGCCTCTATTCCAGAGCTTCGTGAGTATATACGAGAGAGTTCTACTGGCCAGGGTAGTCTACCTCGCCCTAAAGTTACATATCCTCTCGTGTTAAATTCCTTCCATGACATCCAATGCAATGCATCCAAATCCCCTCGACTCGGTTCCTTTCAGAATAGGCAACTCGGTCTCGACTCTTGGCTCCAGTATTAATGGTGCCGATTGTCCGTGAACCTGCCAGATCCGAGTCATCATGTCATGGCTTGGCCTTGTTGATGCTTAATACACTGTCTACCTACCTACCTCACCCAAGTATCATGAGAGGCTCCCAATGTTTGCTTGGATTGCCGATCAGGATTTAATATGAGGTACTTTATTAACAACCTACTCTGCCACCGACAAAGAGGCATACAGTAGGTTCACACACAGCATAACTAAAACTCAAGTCTGGGCTCTGGCTTATTATGTATGTCGGAGGCTAAACCAACAACGGAACATCCACCAAATTTATTCCCATCACCGCTCAGATACGGGCGGACAATTAATCTCTCTTGTTCCTCCGCCACCGCTTCTTTTCTTCTTTTAGTCGTATTCTGAATTTCTGTCTATCGAGTTCTTTGCATGTGATCAAGCTCATCAATCATGCGTGCGTAGTAATCAATCATACTCCGCTCTTGGCCTCTAGGCTCTAAGTTAGGTGCCCATACATACGACCGAGATACCTTGCCCTTCTCGATTTGGTGATATTCTTCGAGCTCTACGAGTTACCTTATAATGAATGCGTCCTCTCTAAATGCCAGGTGGTAGGCACCTATGTATATCAATTCCTCAACCTAGGGTAACCAGACCACCCAACTTCCAGTCACCACTCAACATTCAATTCCGTGTAGCAATAATCAGCACAAGTCATCCCCCGACGTCACTGGAATGGTTCACACTCGCCCTCATTTAACAACCTCCAGGCCCTTGTCTCTATTCTAATTATCTCCCAGGGCTGAGATCCTGAGACAACGCCACAAGCCACCAAACCCCTCTCCTCATCCGCCCTCAGTCCCATATCATGTCCAGCTCTCATCCTACGCTGGGAGGATCAATTCTATCAAAATGTGTCAATATCTCTCATGACCTGGCAGCTATCTTCCCCGAAATACTCCTAAGCCATTTCATCTCCAGTTGGGTCAACTGTGGTCTCTTGAGCTTCCGAACGCCTCAGTTGAAGCTCTCCACTACCTGACCGTTTCGCATCAGTACATATCTGCAAGCTGGATCATGGTCTCAGTTGACCACCCTACTGAGACCAACCCAACACCCACCTGCCTATCATATGTCGCCTATGGTTGTAGACATGCATGTGAAAGGTTCAGCAGATGAAAGGCATCGTTTCCTTCTACAACATTACGCTATGATTTCTTCAACCAAGGCATGTATCTTTCACTCCCAAATCCACACCTCTTTTGATCGCTCAACTCCGTCCTACATGCATTTCTCATATCACATCAATGCGGTCAACTCGAAACAAATATATAAATGAGAGAGAAGAAAGAAATAGGGCATGGCCCTTCATGAATTCCAGACCCTCAAACAGCTGGTCACGACCTCGCAGATACCCCCCTTTCTAGTTGTTTTAAAACGTTCACGGCATCTGCAAAAAGAATGTTTCCTCCGCCCAGACAATCCTTTTCCAACGCCTCCTTCACAAGACTTACAACCTTTTGAGCCCCATTGCGGTGATTCTGAGCTTGCAACTCAGACGGCTCCAGATCCGCAACTGTCAAGATCCACTGCTTTGGAGCTTTTGGCAAATTTTTGGTATTATCCCTGTCCTGTTTATCCTCAATACCAAAGGCCCAACAGATCAACGAGCAAACGTAAGCACCCCAGTAGTCCGAAATATCTGTCCAATGTACTGCTTGTTGCTGACTGGATTTTCCTTTTCTGTCTTCTTCCTGACCGGATGAAGTCTTGAGATTAAGGAACATGTTCAAAGCACGGGCAGCAAAAACCGTGGCGATCGCAGCTGTGCTAGATTTGCACCATTCGCCTAGTAACCTCTGGTGTTCCACAAAGACATTGAAGTCCGTCACCTTCTTGTTGAAGACCCAGCTCTGCCCAGACACTGATAATAGGTAGTAAAGAGGTGTGTAGTGAAGGGCGAGGTAGGTGCTGACAACTGCCGAGTCAGGAAATACTCTTAACATAAGCATTCTCTCCGACTCAAAGTTCAGTGCACCATCCATCAGGCCAACGTGTGCTGGGTTCTGACGACGCGAAATAAATAATGAACATGCTGCAAGCAAGATTGCCGCGTCAAAGGCAGGCAGAGATGCTACATCAGTGGCAGAGAGTGTCCTGATGTTGATGCTTGAGATGGTTTTTGGGTCCTTTCTTGTCCGTAGTCGTGTCCATGTTTGGGGATCATGTGCTTCCCAGGATTTCGTTGTTGTTGCTGTGAGTGGAATAGGAAGAGTGTCTGGAGCAGTGTAGTCCAGGCCAATGGCGGAAACATACGGTCGTTGATGATACCGTGAACTGTGGACATCCAGGAGGAAGCAGGCAGCCAGCAGTCGTCGTTGAGTTTCTGCAGCAACCCAGATCTTCCAAGCCGACTGACCTTGGGTTGAAGAGCCGGAAGAAGATTCATGGTGATGATTGAAAACCTATCGGGAGTTGAGCCAGGTGTTCGAGGGGATATGAGGTCGAAAAGAAAGACATGATGTTTAATGATTCCAATAGAAGAGAAAGGTAAAGAATAGAAGAAGGGGAAAAGAAGAAGAGAACGGAGGAAATAAAGAAATAAAGGGAGGAATAATCAAGAGAAATCACGCGGACTAACCCTGTGGTAAAGTGCAGTGAACCGGGCAGAGGGCTGATGTGAGTGTGGCTTTCTGCCACGAAACCGAGCATAATACTCGCAGAGTGCAATAGTTTGCTGTACTGGTATTGACCACTTTTCAGCTTGTATAAACTAAGTGTATCAGCACCGGTCGATTGTCGACTGCTCCTTTGGCGAGCTCCTGTTCTCTCAACTCACCACTTTTGACTTTTGCCAGGCGTATGCATGAAGCTGAGCTCCCTTCATGCGGTCTTCTGCGTTGGGGATATATTGTGTGGCCAGAGCAGCCATGGCGCATTGGAGCACCTGCACATGCTCTGTCTCCTCCGCGGGTACATCCTCGTAAGTGTGCTTATGTATGATGGGGTTCTTGGGATGGACATGCTCCCAGTAAGTTTCTAAGTATGTCGGAATTGAGTCTCTCGTTGCTGTAGGGAGAGATAGGGGCATCAGATCAGGAGTACTCAATAAGCTACCATCCGAAGGCCCAGAGCTACATGCCCCCAATCCGAAAACTCCATCTGATGCTGGCAGCGAGGGGACAGCTACTAAAGTCTCAGATTGAGCGACAGCTAATGAGGGGGACATGCTACGAACTGTAGGAATAGGGATCTGGTTGGTAGTGCTGAAAGAAGGGCCTTCGGAGTATCCAGGTAATGCAAGATCCATATCGCCAAAGACAGAAGGATATGCTTGTGGCGGAGTGTCGGTATATGAATACGAGCCAGGGTATGTGTTGCTGTCCAGACTGGCAGTGATGTCATTTGCAGTAGTTGGGTAAGTTGGAGTCGCAGTCATCCAAGAACCGTTCGTTGTTGGCACGGAGAACTGTGAGCGCCTGGTGTTATCCGGAGGAGTCGAGAATGTGCTTGTAGGGGCTGATGAAGACATTGAGCTTTCAGGCCAGCCTAGATCAGGGGGTGCTTCCTCAGGAATGGATGATATGAGAGACATGTCGGACATGTTTCGTGGTTCCGAATAGCTTGTTACAAAACTTTCGTTCGTTGGCAGTGTATGGAGTACATAGTTGTTTGGCCCGATGGGGTAGTTGTCTGAGGAATTGTTGACGGTTGGCGGCGGATTGTAGGCCTGATGAGGTGCAGATGTCGATACCACTGATGGCCATGAGCCAACCATGTTCGAGCTGCTGCTTGCGGTTACTGCTCGAGGGTGTCTATAGACTTCCGGCATCTTGAGTCCTGATTCTGGGACAGAGTCTGCAGGAGGCAGGTTAGGTGTTTTCGGGCTGCCTTGACGGTTATGTTTCGGATCTCTAACATCTTGACCATCTTGCTCACTACTCTTATTAGCCTCGAAGCTCTCCGGGTGCCACTATCCCAACGTACTGTCTTTGGACATGACGGTCGAGGAGGTCCTTGCGATGGAAAGTCTTGTTACAGTTTTCGACCGGGCAGAATAGATCAGGAGCTGAATGACTGAGTTGATGACGTCTGCATCCCATTGTTAGAAACACTTTTTAGCTTCGAGGAAGACCACAAACCTCAAGTGCTCTGCCCGAGAGAAGGTCTGGGAAAGTTAGATGTGAAGATCGTGGAGAAAGAAGGAATATACCTTGGGGCATTGGTTGCATGTGTGAACCGGGACACCTTTCTTCGCCTTACTGATCTTTCTGGTTATAGGAGTCAACTTTACGTGTGCCTCTCCAGTGGCTGCTCCGGTGAAGGGCCTCATGGGAGTGTGAGATGATGGGCCAGGCTGGTAGGAGAATTCGTTGGAGTCGACACTTGCGTTGCTACGGCGTCGGCTAGTCATGTTGATATTGGGCTTTGGTGACGATGGGTGATCATCGAGACAAGATGTCATGGATGAGACAGGATTATCAGACCTGCTGTTGTGGGAGGAAGGGGGTGGTGGATGTTTTAATGTAGTAGCATGGCTGTGGGTAGAGGGTGGTCTTGAAGTCGAACCGACGGAACGGATTCCGGAACTTGAATCGACGTGTTCATCGTCGGTGTTCATGATATTCTTGAGACTAGCCATGGCCCAGAGTTGAGAACAGAAGCACAAATCAAAAGAGGCAGTGAGTCCGGAGAATTGTAGATGGACAAGCCAAACTTAGTAAGACACAGCCCCCAGGGAGGCGTATGAACAAGTCCCGGCAGATGGGACGTTTTAGGCTCATGTAAAGAAGGTGGGCGATGAGGGTATAGAACAGCAAGCGGGAGTAATAGTGGGGGAGTTGGTGTAGAATTGAAGCAAAGATCACAGACGGGAAGAGGTACAGACGGCTAAGGCTGGCGAATAGAGCAAGCTCGGTGTTTAGCAGGGATGCAGATGTGAATATGGGGCTCAGTGCAAGTGAGATATTTACTCTTGGTACAAAGATAGGAACCAGGAGAGGCATTGCTGGGTTAGACCTGGGCAGGATTATCTGAGAGTGTTAGAACATGGAGCATGGGGATGTCGATGTGATTGACCCAAGGTTGAAGACAACCCTGCGAGCTGAGTATGGGGCGCAGGACAGGGGAGTTGATGCATGGATTGAAACATGGATATGGACAAGATTAGATGCTTTGAAGGAGGTGAGGTGGAGGGGAGAACAAGAGATGCACCTGATGCAAGGCACTTGTCTGCCTCTTGAAAACCGTACGTAGTGTTTAAAACGTCCTCGACACCAAAAGGTCGGGACATGGGGAATCCATCCCATTGTTTGGTTTGGCTTGTCCATGTGCCACCCTCTCACATCGACCCTTGTCGCATGCTTGCCGCTCCCTTTTCGTCGAGAATGCGACAAGTGGCGGGACGGGGCCGCAAGCGCCATCTAAGCCTTCAAGGAACGGTACCTGATCGAGCAACTAGCGCCCAGGTGTGGTACTGTACCAAAAAGACACTATTCATCCCCCCGACCGATCCGATGGCTTGCGGGTGGTAGCTCGCGCTTAGACGTGGTTGGCGCAGACCTATCCAGTGCTTTGTGAAGAGAGACAGAATGGCGGCGATGATCAGTAAGAATGGTTGCATTGAGTAAAGTGAGTAATGTTGCACATGAAAGAATCCAAAAATACCAGCACGGGAACAGCAGCACATAGGCGTAGAAATTCCAACTGGAACTAGGGGAAGCTCGGGCACTAGTGTTAAAATTGATTTTGGAGCTCCAGTTTCACAGGAAGCTAAGCAATGCATCTGCATCTGTGCTGTATCTGGGCACTGAGACATCGTGGGCATGGGCATGGGCATGGGCATGGGCATGGGCGTGGTCGGGCGGGTATGGCGTCAAGGCGCCTGTTGGTGGCTGCTCTAGAAGCCAGAACCGATCATGGCTTGATGTCTCCAGAATGATAACAGATGACATCTCGCATTTAGAATGGGTGTGGTTGTCTGACAGGGATCGGCAACATGCGTACATAGATGATAGGAGAGAAAAAAAAGATCCTATACCTAGAAGAGGCTGTGTCTAGAAAGGTTAAGTCGAAGAAAATGAGCTGGGGAGAGAAGGAAAGGCGGCCGACAGGTACCTCAGGACGTACCTACTAAGGTATACCTCCAGGTTCCAGTAGCTCTTGCTTGCATCAGTGACAGGTACCGGCTTACCCAAGAGCTTGACCCAAGATAGGTGCCTAATGTACTGACTTCAATGGTACCTACTAAGGCATTCCCATGAGTCTGGTCCCGATATTACCGATATCTCACCTATTGAGTTTATTGACACTGCTCTTAGATGGTGTTTTTTAAACTTTTCTATGTAATTACTTCCATCATAAAGCAACTCGATCTTGGGAATCCTGGGTCCGTCCAACCTTACAAGTGCTTATCCCAAGGGCATGGCCCGACCAGCCTCATAGGGCCCGCGCCGTTACAACGCTGTCCATTATCCGTTGTCCATGGTCCACAGGGTTTAGGTCGGTTTGTATGTTAGGTTTGGTCTAAGCTTTTTTAGCCGAGTTTCCAATATCACCCGCATTTAAATCGAATCGCATACTGACCTCAATACCGGTATCCCGTTCTCATGACAGCCGTATGTATTGAAACATTACATACTTGGAATGTTGGATCCTGTCCCCTGGTAGCGTCAATTCGTATCCCTGTCTGTCGTACAAGGGTGCTATTAGCCCAGCCTTGCTGGGCGCTAGGGTAGCCAAACAAAAGTTCAGGACAGACACACCACAGCCCAGCCACTCGCTGTCTGATTGGTCAATGTTTCATGATGACCTGAGGTGACCTGGGGCTATTTTTACCTCCTTGGCTGCGCCTGTTGGGTCCGTCCTGCACACACACACACACACAATCTGCTTGTTCAGTGTGATGCGCTAGCTCGAGCAGAAAGTTAGCAGCGTCATGATAATGCTTGCTGCGATCGACAGATTAATTAATCAGAGACAAGGCATTCTTTAATTTGCAGATCGACGAGTCAATTACTGCAACGCCTTGCGGCTCATAGACCCATAAACTAGTACATACCTATCGACTTCCATTGTCCAACATTAATCTTATCTTATCTTGAGTTGGGAACAAACCGTTGTGCTCGTCCCGAGCAAAAGGATATGAAATGCGGGGCCGGACCGTTCCACGTTCCACGCTGTTTCTCCCCGCCTTTTGGCTGGAAATGGAAATAGGAAATAATAACGTCCACGAGACTACCGCCAGCCATTCAAGGGTTATGCTTCTTTCCCAAAATTAGATCGTCGCATTTCGTTGTCCAAGGTACCATATGTCATTCCGCACGCTAAGTCTAGTATAAACGACCTTTTTCGGATTTTGAGGCCAAGACGCTGTAGGATTCGGCCCGCACGGAGAATATTCCTTAAAAGAAGTCCTCCACAGGACTCGCACATACAACTGTTTATTGCAACCACAGATTCATATCTGGGGGACAAGGGAAAAGCCCCCGGCGCTTCGATCCCGACTATTTTTGTATTTAGAGGCTCTTTTGGACCAATACATTGACGAGAAGAAGCGGCTTTTCCCAATGCAGATCTTGCACCAAATCTACCCTGTTTCTGTAGCCAAGGTCTCGCTAAGATGCTACATGAACTCATCACGTCACTACGTCGTGGACATGCCCATGTTGACAACTAACCTACTTTTCAGCACCGATGCATGTCTGGTCTGATTCGCATGTGCTCCTCTGGAAGTGGAAGCAGATCTACACATGGGGACACACCCCTTGACTTGGCACCTGTTGCCTGTCACTTACCACATGCCTCCAACTTTCTATACACCGCAATTTGAGTTTATGAACTAAAAGTTAGGTAGTCGCCCATTTGAGTACTGGCCGAGAATCTTCATGACCTTTGTGGGGGTCATCTCCATTCGGACGTTTATCCGCGCACCCTTGATCGTATCATTTGCCTATCGCAGCTCGGAACGAACCATTGACATTTAGGAGTTTGACACTTTCGACATCAACGTTTGCAATCAGGTTTCTCCTGTACATGCTGGGGGATTTCTTCCTGCATCGCATTGCAAGGAGTGGGCAAATTCCTGTTGCCTAATGTCGATCGTTTAGATCAAGGCAGACTGATGCTGACTGTGCGATCGACAAATTTTACCAGATATCCCCTCAAACTCCAATTAACTACCTTTGTCATGATGAAGTGGTCTCATCGGTTGAAACGTTACTTCTAATCATCCAGTGCTGCCGTCATCATCTGACAGAGCTCAATATACAGTATAGCCGCCTAGGCGCCTAAGCGCAGGCGCCCCCAGATTGTGGTATTTGAGTGTCTGCGCCATCCGGAAAGCCAGATACCCTGAAGAGATTTGGCTAATGATTTGCTCCGATATTTCAGCCTCACCGAGGGGGCCATGCATATTGGCTTAGTTAGCTGTACGACAATGATTATCATGTCAGCAACGAGGGGCTCGAAATAAACTCCCGAATCAAAGGATTGTACCTGCAGACGTAGGCTGTAACAAGGTGGTCCTAAGAATGGGGGAATGTCACGAAATGTCACGAAAATGAGACCATCGAAACAAGTGAACGGTTCAGTCATACTCGTCGGGTTACTTCGCCCAACTGTCGTACCATCCCATAGCTACCTTATCAGACAAGAAGAGTCCGGATTCAATAGTGCGCCGAGGTTACACTGTAGACGTGAAAACATTCGATACATAAAACAAGCCATAACGCCTTGTATACCGGTCCTGTATTAAAGCGCACGGCCGAATACTGATTAAAATAATAATCCACCAAAGTCCATTACACAAACATCTGTTGTCCCTATCGTGGTGGCCCTGCCTCCTCTTCCTGCTGGACATTTTTAACCAATCTCCCTCATTCGCAATCTGCATGACCATACAGCTTCATTTATAGCTTCGAAGGAGCGGCTGCAGCTGCAGCCGCGGTTGGAGTGTTTGATGAGTCCTTTGGCGATTTTCCGTGTGTATCACTCTCTTCAGACTCATCGTCGCTGGGGGGTCGGCTACTATCGGTGACGTTGCCTCGGCTCTTGGTCATCTAGACGATCGTCAGCTTAAGGCGAAAAATGTGGTGCATGTCCACTACTCACCCATCCTCGGACACCACCAACAAGACCCAGAGCGTAGCCAGTGATGAATTCCTTGGGTGTTCCAGAAGCACCTGGGGAACGTAGTGCCTCTGAGCTGCCTGCACTGTTAAATCGGGCGGGGCTCTGAGGACGGCTAGTAGGCCAGAACTGCTTGAGCTCACGACCGAGTTCTTGACCAGTAGTGGTCCAGTTGTTTGTGATGTTTTCCCGCAGGTCCTGAACATGTCGCTTGAGATCCAGCTCGTTCTTCTTGAGCCAGCTCACATTGAGCTCCTGGCGGGAAGTACCGCGCTTGAATTGTCGGGCAATGTACTTCTCGTAGTCGCGAACGATTCTGCGAGCTGTTAGGATTTTGGATAGCATGGGTGCTCGCTAGCATACCTTGTGATGAGACCAGTTGTGCTGACACCTTCTGTTCGCTGTGTGACAAGGAACTTGCCAGCAGCCTTGATGGGCTGGTAGATGTCGTCGCCCTCGTCCGCGCCGTAAGGAAGATCATCGTGAGCGACATAGTCGAGCTTGTTCTCGTCG